CCACTGAGCCCGGGGGGCCGGCGGCCATGCAACACCCTTCTGCTCTGCACGCAGCAGAACTGAACCAGCGATTTGATATTGGAGCTTTCCAGGTGTATATGTCTACCCAATGAGTTAAATACAGGAATATAGGCTATGGGAGAGAAGGCTGAAATGCCTTCTAGGGACTGAAACACTCCTTCGGGGCAGCAGTTGAAGCCTGTCCTGACTCTAGAGGCAAAAAAGAGCAAGATTTCCCCCACCGTGGCCAAGAGGCTAAATCACGTGTCGGTCACATGAAAAAACACGGTCTGAGAAGGTGACTTGCTCAAGTCTCTGAGACCATTCTCTGCCTCAGTGGCTGGGCCCAGGCCTGAATAGACCTGAAGTTTCCCTGGTGCTGGGGGCAGTAGGGGACAGAGGAACCACAAGTACTTGTATGTTGTGAACTGCTTCAGTACAGCAGTGGCGGTACATACAACCCTAGGTACACCATAGGGGAAGAAAAAAAGAGAATTTATGTAGCTTAGATTTTTAATAATTACAGATTAATTACAGCTTAAGTTTTATTAATTAAGATTGGTTTGCTATCCCAGCTCATGCAAATCTGAATTAATGTCTGCATGTATTTTTTTTTAAGAAGGTAAATTGTTCATGTTTGATGTACACCTGTGAATACGCATTGTAAAATGTTTCCAGTTAATTTAATTATCACAGTCAATACTTAGGGAATCCCATTTTGGCCAAGAACAGAAAAATGGAGCTATAATCGGGTCTAGGGAAAATATCAGAATAATGTTCATCTCGTGGATATACCTGAAATCGGTTTATGATAGCAACACATGAGAATTTAGGTGAAGCAATGAGTATTCATGAAGTTTTCAGATTGGTGGTAATATTCTGTCAGCAGCTGTGGTATAGATCCTAAAGTGTACCCTAAGATAGGTTTGTGTTAGATAAGCAGCAGCTCCTATGTGGTTCAGTAGCTGTTCGGGCCAAGACACACCTGAAAAAGCCATTTGGTGCCACATGGAGATGGGCAGAGACATTTCAGCTACCCCAGAGAGGCTTTAAGAACACGAAGAGGTGTGATATGCTTCCCTACCCCTCCTTCTGCCCACAGCAGGCTATAATTTAGTTCCTTCTAATCTCTATTAAGAAAGAGGAGAAGAACCCTTGGTGCTTACCCCACAGAGATGAGAGAGGCACAGAGCAGCCACTCTTCAGCTACCACCTGAGCTGGTAGACACGGGGGCTGTGGGTGGACACAGCAGCAATGCCAAGTGGTTGGGGTGCCTCTGCGCTCACTTCTGCAAAGACTTTAGCCACCAGCAGCACAGTTACTCTGCCTGTGTCCCTTGCAGCCACCAAACTTAGCTGTCTCCTCTTTCCCAGCCCTCCCCTGCCCACCCAGAGCTCCCCTGCAAAGCCCATGAGCTCCTGAGCACCACAGGGTTGCTCCTTCTGGGTGCCCCATTTCGCAAAGCCCTGGGGGACTGGATGCAGTGGGCAGGAGGGGGCTGCACGGCTGCCTCGGGGAGGGCATCTGCTCCCTGGAGAGGAAAAAGGTGCTATGGACAGATGAAGCAAAACATGATGATACTAACAGAGTCAGGCCGAGCCTTGAAGTATTTGGTCCATTTTACTCCTCCTCATCTCCAGACCTGATTTCTAGCAGAAATTTGAGAATTTGAGAGCAATTTTACCGTATAATGGATGCCCCCTCCTTGGCAGTGTTCAAGGGCAGGTTGGAAGGGGCTTTGAGCAACCTGGTCTGGTGGAAGGTGTCCCTGCCCATGGCAGGGGGTTGGAACTGGATGATCTTTAAGGTCCCTTCCAACACAAACTGTTCTATGATTATAGGCATTTCTCTGTCTTGATATTGAATCCTGGGTGATGCGATGTTGAAGGATCAAATACATTGCAAGTTATGTCTCCTATGCCTGTTGTCTTATGTTTTCTGTCCTTCCTTAAAATCCATCTCCTGACCTTTACTGCGTTCCCTTCGTAGGGTCCCTCGGGACAGCTGGTCGGGTGTGTAACCAAACCTCCCGCGGCATGGACAGCTGTGAAGTGATGTGCTGCGGGAGAGGCTACGACACCTCCCGTGTCAGCAGAATGACAAAATGCGAGTGCAAATTCCACTGGTGTTGTGCTGTGCGCTGCCAGGACTGCCTAGAAGTGGTAGATATTCACACCTGCAAAGCGCCAAAGAGCGCTGGCTGGATCTCCCGGACATGATGCACGGGCTGCTGATGCTTGAGGACCACAGCCTTTGCCCTTCCTGGGCCATGCAGGGAATGCGTCCGAGGCCTTCTCTACTTTTACATCAGTTTTGCCTTTGTCTTGCATTGCACAGAAGCTGCTGAATAATCAATACAAACTCTGCAGCATTTACTTCCCGTTTCTGCATGACGATGCTGCTTCAGAGTTGTCTGTGCATAAACTGATACAGCTCTGGAAGGACGTACTTCTGCCGGGACTCTTTCGACCAACACGCAACTCTCCTCTGGACTCCTTGTGGCAGTTCATTCCTGCCATCAGGAACACAGCAAGATGCAAAGATGGGGCATTTTGTACAAGCCCACCACCAACAACTGCATGGGATGAGCTTGCTCAAGCATCTTCCAAAGGATCTTGTGTTTGTCACAGTCATGCCATGGATGCTGAGTTTGAGCACTGGTTGGTGATTCCTCCATGAGAGTAAATCTGGGGCCAAGCTGGGGGAAAGGCTTTACTGGAGGGGTGTCTGACTGTCTCCAGTGGACCGGAGTTTGCAGTGAGGTGGCCACCTGAGGCCACCCTGGCCACCATTAGCACACTGCAGCTTCCGTGGGGCAGAGATTGACCCACGGTGAAAAGCAAAGGAAACTGCAGAAGTGTATTCAACCACATTTTCATAAACTATTACAGAGTCAAAGCAGATGCCTTAGTTATATATTTGTGAAAACTTGCCTTAAAAGCTTTTGAAAGATCATTAATATTAACTGCTGAGGTTTTTTGTGATCTGAAGGATTGAACAGATTTGTTTCTCAGCCTAGTGAGAGCTGGGACACTCAACTACCTAAGGATAGGGTTTCCTATTTTTCACTTACTAAATAAGCAGAAAAACATTTGCAGAAAGCTGATGGAGAAGAAAGTTATCTTGTCTCAGTAGTGATCACGTTTCTAAAGAATCCATCAACTTCTGTGTTCTTTTAAATTTAATAAATCTATTAAATGTGTTCAGAATGATACTCTCCGTTCAGACAGGGACTTTCAAATGAGATTTTCTCTGAATATTTTCTGCAAAAACTTATGCCTACGATTAAGGGTGCGTTGGCCTTTGATGGAGGCAGTTACAGGTTGTGCCAGGTCCATGTGCTGGGCTGGGATCAGCACAAAACAACAAAGTGCTGGAAAGATGTGCAGGCTCACGAGGCCCAGGAATCGCAGCCTCACTGGAGAGAGAGGAGCTGGGTCAGAGAGGGACCAGCCACCTCTCCTTGGAGCAAAGACCAGCAAATGAGCCAAGATGAAGGATGGGTCCTGTGCTGAGAAGCCTAGTAAGGCTCTGGAAAAGCACCCATGAAGTGCAGAGACAAGCAAGGTAATGAAAAAATAACGTAGGAAAAGGAGGTTGAATGGGTGATAGAACATACTGTAGATGCAGGTAAAATTTCCATATGAAAATGAAAAAGACTGGAGGAACCCTAGCAGGTACAAACAGTGCATGAAAAAGTAATATACAAGTAGCATCCTGTGGCAATAAAGTGAGTACTCTGGTTCCGTTGGGGTTTTTTAAAGAATATTGAAAAAGAATGGGGATTTGCATTCAATGGTCTTGAGAGAGCAGTCATTTACATCTGAAAGGCTTTGGAAAAGGTTTGTATCATTAAAATGGGCAAGTCATCTCCAGAAGGCGCAGCTGGCATTAAAAGATTAGGAGGATCCAGAAAGCTCTTTATTTGGACAATAAGATAATGTTTCAATTACTGTGTATGGCATTTATGTAATGATCACGGCTAGGCGTAAGAATAATCACGCTTCTGGGTATAACCCAACTGCTGGTGGGAATAGCCCTGTCAGCGTGTTGGTGTACAGCGTGTGCATTACACACACGTGCACATGCAGTGCCTGTACATGGACACATGGTCAGCTCGCTGTTGGCCTCATTACTGCTGGCAGTTCCGGCTCTGGGCTGGATCAGGAACATTTCATACCTAATTGTACTTAAGGGTGAGCTCTAAGGAGAATTTTTATTAGGATTTCATTGTGAAATTAAATCCGCATGTAGTTCACCACCTGAGCAATATTGCATTTTAAGCCTTAAAGAACTTAAAAGCAGTATAATATTTTGGGGTTTTGTGCTAGGTTTTTTGAAAGATTCAGGAACCCTTTGAGTAGTTTATGAATTCCCCATGTAATAAAGCTGAAAATATTTCAATGTTCTGGAAAAAAGGAAGCCTCCTCCTTACAAGGGAACTTGTTCTAGGCAGCTGACGTAATGAAATCAGATCGCTTCTTAACTCCATCAGTTGGTTAATACACCAGAAAACAAACCGTCTGATTTCTGCAGTCCCAGGGAAAGTGTTCTGGGGTCATTGTACTAAAGGTGGAACTTCTGTTCCCCAACCTGGTCCTCCTCCTCCCCCTACCAAGGTACATTCTTCTTGCTCCAAACTTTCCCTTGGTCTCAGGGGCCTGTTGTTCCTGAAGGCTGGTCTTACCAGTAAGACCAGAAAGATGGTGGCATCGAGTACCTTTGCCCTTTCAGCGTCCTTTGCCACCAGATCCCCTGCCCCGTTCAGCAGTCAGCCCACCAGAGGTGTGCACAGCAGCCTGAATTTTATATCTCACACAAGTGCCATATTAATAGGCTGCAATGCAAACTTGCTTCACCAGAGGAAAACCAGAATATTTTGCAGCACAACAAATGTGTAACCGCTGAGCTGGACAATTATTTGATTACGTTTTTTTTCTGTATTTATGATATTTTATTTTAAAAAAGAGCTCAAGTTTGGCTTCTTACAGCAGTAAGCATTTCTGCTGCCTCTTCCACAAAGAAAGCAGTCCTGGGAGCTTTTGCTATTTTTTAGTGGGAAAAGACACTCAGAGATGTAAATATTGCTAGGACAGGCACCTCCTTGACCTTCAGCTAATCAAACAAAATAAAAGAAACGGGAAAAAAAAAGAAACAGAAATCAGGCAAGGCAAATTCAACAATCCTGTATTTTGTTCTGTGGAATATATTTACTCATATATTTAGTCATGAAGAGGAAACAGTTGTCCCTAGGTAGACCCTTTAGTGTCAGAATAATGTTAGCTGAGGCGAAAGGCTGTAGGATTTTTTTTTTAAATATGCAGGCAGATTTTCTTGAGGGAGTTCCCTTTAATTTGCTGCATGAAATCAGAATCTAGCAGCGCCCTGAAACACTGTTAGCCTGCCAAGCTTTTTGGGATTGCTCCCTCCCTGCTATTTTCTTTTTTTTAACAAACTTTAGCCTAAAAAAGCATGTTGAGCTGTTTTAGGAGAGAACTAATGAAAAAAAGTGTGATTTTCTTTTACCACATGGAAAAACGGGGAAATGACTTTTAGGAATGGTGGTGTATGTTAGGGCACGCAGGTATGAGAGCTTGACAGATTGTTGCATTTCTTCTTTTTTTCCTGCTACGCCATCTAAACCCAATTTGTGCATCTGACCCTGACCTCCCATCCCCACGTAACCTTCTTTGCAGGTGTGAATGAGAAATAAAGCACCGCATTCCTGGTCCTGTGCTGCACAGCTGCTGAAGGGCAGCCAGCCGGGACGCCCAAATCGCACCTGCATTCGCAAGCAGCCGGCGGTCCCTGCCTGCGGGCATCGTGCCCAGCCTCTCGTGGCACTTGATGCATGGTGGCAAATGGGAAATGAACATTCTGCTGGGGATTAGTGGAGATCTGGGGCTGGGGAGGGCGCTTTCACTAGGAAAAAAATAGTTCTTAATCCAGCGTGGCAGCACAAAGCGTACCAACGCTTGCTCGTCTCCGTGGGTTCTGCCCCTCTCTCTTGGGAAGGGCTACAGCCTTCCTGTGCGGGTGACGGCCACCTCTGAGGGCGGAGGTGGTTTTTGTGGTCACATAGCAGAGCCTGCAGGTTTCTCCTGCCACGGCAAAGGACACGAATGAACTTGCACTACTGTCTGAAAGACTGCAGCGGTTCATGGGCTGTAATCACAAACACAGGTTTGTGCCTGACAGCTCATTGGCCTGATTAAATGGATGTGACTTCACAATGTGAAAACTCTCGTGCGTAAGACGCAAACATATGTGAATCGATACATTGAGTGCTCCTCCTTCGTTGCTCCAGGGGTGCCTCCCTGCACCCTCGGCGGTGGGAACTGGGCAGGAGCCCTGCAGGAGGCCGGGCGGCACGTGGGGCCGGGGGCTACCTTGCAGACTGTGCCTGAACTACAGCTGCTGAGGTTTTCGAGCTCTCCGTGCAGCAACAGCCACACCGGGTGGGAAGGGGTGCAGCTTCCTTTGGAGGTTTACCTTCTGTAGGCTTCTGCAACACAGGCAAGCTCCTGCTACTGTTCCTCCTTTCTACGGGGGTAAGGACTATGCCACCGAAAAATCAGAGTCTGTGTATGTGGCGTTCACACCGAACGATTAACAACCAGAGAAAACAGCAGCCTTCCCCTTGGTGCAGCACCCACCTCTCCCGAGAGCCTCGGAGCACCTGTAGATCTGCCTGGTGGGAGGGCCAGAACATGGCCAGCTTGACTTACCTTGACTTACTCAGGGTGGGCGGGTGCGTGTTCCCCCTCTCCTTTTTTGTTCTATGCAGGTTACAGTGTAAAGAGACCCTGTGCATCCAAATGGTGTTGGGTTGTGGTTAAAGAAAAACACAGGAACTGTTTATATTTGGAGTAAAAAAGCCGCCCCCTGCAAATCTGCAGACTGAGGGTTTGGATGATTTATTATCTGAACCAGATTTCCTGAAGGCTCATCTCTGCACTAAGCCAGAGGCTTTCCATCATTATAATCACACGCTGTGTTTGCCTTTTGATCTAAGCCATGCTGCACTTCACAGGCAACATGTCAGAGGCAGAAAAGCCTAAGGCAACAAACTCTGCCCGATGAAAATGAAAATCCTTTTGTCTGACATGCCTAGTCTCCCAGATGCCTAGAATTATAATTAAAGCTAAAGCGATATTTCCTAGATAAAAATCCATGGCTCATTACTGCTTATAAGGGAGATGGATACTAGAAATAGTAGAAATAGAATTGGATAAAGGTATTTTTGCATTCCTGGAAATTCCCCATAGTTCAAGGGAAGGATCTGATTCTTCCAGGAGTTAAGCATCCTTTTGTATTGGATTATTACAGACAGTTATTCCCGCACAGACCATAAGTCTTCTAACAGAAGGCCAAACTGCTACCTTAGTTGCCAACAAACGTGGAGATTTGTATATAGCTAGATACACACCGATGAGCAAGCACATTTACATGTTAGGGCCATTAATCACAGCAACTTGTTCTTTTGAAATATAGGGTACGTATAAATGAACTTTGAAAGGCTTTTGAGGTGGCTGAGAATAAGCGACACAAAGCAGCACAGGACAGCTGACGATGCCCGGTCCGTCTGATTTTCACCAGCCTTAAATCACGCCGACCGCGCCGTTGTGAGGCGAACAGATGTGTGTGATCATCCCCAGTTTACAGCCAGAGACGCACAGGAGCACCCGCGGTACAGGTGTTCGCTGTGGCTGTTCTAGCAATTCAGGGGCAAAGCCGAGACCACAAATACGGGCCCATTTCACGCTTCCACGTGCTGTCCCCTAGCAATCCACTACCTCTACTCTTACCCCACGCTAACTGTAAGCCATACTGATTTCAACGTTCCAGTGAATCGTTTTGCAGGAATAATGGCCAGAGATGGAAAACCTGTACGGAAAGCCCCAACAACGACGCATCTCACCAGCTTTAACATTCAGCTGTGGGGCGTTCTGATCTTCTACGTCCTCCCCCAGGTCTCATTCTTGCAGTTGATTTCTCCTGGTGTGGGGCTGCCTTTTCCCCCTCGTAGCACAGCAGTGTTTGCTCTAATGCAGTACCATTGCTCGCTTGGACAAAAAGCCTTCTTCAACGTAGACTAGCATATCTGTGATCAAGAGGGCAAAAAAATAATGCAATGCATCTCCTGCTGGTAAGAAACGCTTTCCTTCTATACAAGCTCCACTAATGGGAGTTTTGTCTTTGCTCACTCATTGCCTCATTGATCAACAAAAACTTATCTGTGGGTGATCACAGTCCCTCGAGCTGCTCAGCATTTTTAGAGGAACTGGCGAAGTGGCATTTTTGATCTGCTGCAGTTTGTGCTTCCTTATCCGGGAGAGGAGTTGGAAAAAAATAAATCCTTGAGACATCTGTAAGGATGTACTTTCAGTTCTTGGCAGACAGGACAGCTTGCTTCAACTTCCAGAGCAAATTCTTGATCTTAGAGCCAGCCTCAAGCATTAGCAAGTGTCTGTGGGAAGTTTCCATCTACAGTGGCGAAGCTATAAATGAACGCTTTGTCTAAACCTCTCGCAGCACAAGGATAAGATTTCCCAAGGTAAGCACTAATAATGAAACACCAACCTCTCTATTAATTGTGCATGAACTAACACCAGTTTTGCTAACGAGCTGCTGGTCTCAAGCAACAGTTTATAACGCTGATGTTTAATCTGCACAGGAAAACGTACCTGCTTTTTCGTGCTTGGAAAATACTAGTAATGCAGTAAGAACTCGGCAAGAAATACGCAAGAGCATGAATGCAATAATCACTCACTGCGGGTAAATTTGTCTTCAATTCTCTGCCGTTACTTATGCTTTGTTCTGTAGACAGAGAACAAAGCATGGAGCTTCTGGAGGTACTTGACATAACAGTAGTGTGAAGAAAACCTGTCAAGTGCATGGACTCTTTGAACATTCAAATGAGGATAAAACTGACCTCTGTGCAGGGAATCAGAAGCCCAATGCACCATCCAAACTGCCTGGAGAGCCTAAAGCTGCTTTAAGCAACAGCTTTAACTGTCTAGAAGACTCGTCTAGACTGTCTGTGGCAGTGACGGCTTCACCCTACCTGAACTCCGTAAGAAAAGGCAGTGATGCTGTTACTTAATTGTACAGTTATTCGTGTTTTTTCATTAACTGAACGGAAAGGCAAGTCCTAGCTGTGGTGAAGCAGATACACCACAGATAAGAACACTAAGCACAATCTGAACTTTGAAGAAGAAGCCAGAAGACAGCAATGCTGCAATACACAAAAGTTTATTTTTAAGTTTTTCTCTTCTGAAGGCAAAATATAATAGAACCTAACATCAATGTATTTTGTACAACAAAACAGATTTTATATGAGAACAGACAATCCATGAAGAGTTTTTAAGTCTTAGAACTGCTTCCCTTTTTTATCATGCTTTCTTGTGGTCAACAAAAAGTTGGCACAGAAGATGTCATGGCAGTCAGTCAGCGGGCGTGCTCCCTCAGATCCTCGTCAGCTGGTGCCACAGACTGGAGGGCAGGATACTCTCTACTTTTTCCATCACAAAATTTAAAGGGGCAAAGAGGGTGCTGAGAAACTGCAAAGAAATCAGATACACATTCAGATCAAAATCCAGGAGACAATACACCTCAAGAGAAAGCTGTCCAATATGACAAAAAACTCCCACTGCGTTCCTCTGCAAAATCCTCCAGCATGATAAAAATTATCTAATTCACGTATAAAGACTTTCTGCCAGGTTCTGAACGTTGCATATATACAGACTTCTGGATTTTGCAGTAAAGAAAGCAAGAGCCCATTTTTATGAAGACCAAAGTGATGAACTACAAAAGTTTTCACACATCTCACATCCTAGATTCAGGCTCATACGGAATCCACTAAAAGCTCAAACCAAAAGGAAAGAGAGGCTTTTTCATTAGGGCAGAATCTGCCGGACACCTCTCAGAGAGAAAAAGCGTGGCCTTAGATTCAGGGTTAAGACAGTTCTGGGTTATCTATAGATCTGCTATATACACTGAGGCATCCCTCACTGGAATTTATCTTAACATCCTCCCTCTATTACAGAACACAGCTGGCAATGTTGAAAGAGGTTTCAATATATTAACGTTAGGACAGGCATATGTGACAAATATCAAGTGAATAGAGACCATTCACAGGAATAAACCACTGCCAGCTGCACATCTCAGAACTCAGACACTCAAAGCACTCCCAAAATTTTGGGAAATACACATTAACTGTGCTTTCCATTTCGCCATTCAACTGTACGCATTACAGACAGCTGTGCTGGGGCCCTATAGGTGTGTGAGTACAGTAATACGCACGGTCAGCCGCCTTGAGGGAGCGAACCCTGCGGCTTCTAACCATTCAGGCTGATGCAACTTTGCTAAAAATAAACGGTGCTGTTTGGAACTGATCGGCAGAGAGCTGCAAGAGGTTTGTGTTTCAGGTACTGCTCTGCAGTCAGCACAAAACACAGAAACCTGCACGGATGTGTATGTGAACTCTGCTCGGTAGGTCAGTATTAAAGCCAATCTGGTGCTGGATGTGTGCTCTTTTCACCCAAAAGAACTCTCCCTCCTGACCAAAGAGAGCACCAGACTTTATATATAAACACACTTACATCCCTTTTCATGTTCTGAATTTGTCCCATATATCTTTAGGCACTTAAAGGATGCAGACGTGGGGGTCTGCTCCCCCTGTAGCCACTGAAGAGAACTAAGCACGCCCGGAGAGTATTTCTACCCGTCCCAGGACCAGCTGCCCTTTGAAACTGTCTCTTCCCTCTTTACCCCCAGCTGCAGAGGGAGCTGGGGCGGTTGGGCTTTGTCTTCTGCCGTAAAGCAAAGAGGACTGCAGCACAGCGCGGGGTGCTGGCCTGCCCCAGCCACGCTCCTGAGCTGCTCGCACAGCTCCTGACACAGTTCTGGCCCGTGCCCGCTTGTCTCTCCTCAACAAAGCCTGGGCAGAGTCTGGGGACAGCGCACGGCAGGGACAGTTGCCAGCAGCCAGCGAGGACGGGGCCACCTTGCCTCTGAAGGGAGGAGAGGACAGAGCTACAGACGTGAACTGTGGTGAGTCACTTGCCTTTGGAGCCACAGAACAAACAAGATTTTATCACTTAACACAGGTACATCCTTGGTCTCTAACTTACGCTCCCAAGTATCTAAAGTTAAGTATGAAAAAGGCAATTTCAAAAATTGTTACAGGTCCGTATGTGCTGAAACACAGCTATATATGGCGAAGGGATTTAAAAAGTTTCAGAACATCCATACCCAACAGCCACAGATAGATAGAAAGTATCTACCTGTAAGCAGTTTTGCCGTTTACCGAAATGGGCTCTGTGCAGAGCTTAACTGTAAAAACATACGGTGTTTACAATGCTTATGTGTTTCAAAGGCAGCTGTAAGCATTCAAATCCTTTTTTTCCCTCTTGGACACGTTTGCATACAATACAGACGCTGCCTCATGGACAACTTGTGCATCATGGCAAAACCAGGTAACAGCATCACTGGCATGAGATTTTGTCGTAAGCACGGGTCGAAGAAAAAACTTCCTCAGACTGAAGCTGAACAGAGTATTTCAGCTGTAGTGCTAAAGGTCAAGCTGTATAACGTGAATCGCAGCTGGATTAACGTAACACCGACTTACCTAATCTTAGAGTTTGCTATTACTATTTCAAGTGGTGAACTGTTTAGATAAATATGCCGCTTTAATTTTGCCAAATGCCAAAGGCTCACTAGAGGATATTTTCTGCTTTCTGACTAGAACTTGATCTACGTGGTAAGCTTGCACTATCAGATCTACTTTGAGAAAAATCAGCTTTGTAACCAGTGCAACTCACATACTTGTTAAATCAAAGAAACAAGAATAATTTGCCTGACAGTAAGTTTTATTGCAATTACTAAGAATTTTGTTGCTGAAGCAGTCAATTGTATCTTACAACAAACTCAGCAAAGTATCTGTAGTTTAAAATGAGACAAGTTTTCCTCCACCTGGAGAATCAGTTGGTCTACAAAATACATTTAAAATCATAGATACCAAGGCCTGGCTTTACTGAAGTCCAAGCAAAACCTCTGCCAACAGCAAAAGCTTCACGGTGCCACCTACTCTCTTGTACCAGCCCATGTCAACAACATCTGTGCTGGGGCCACCTGCCCCTTGGAAAGCCCTCGGTGCTCCTGTCCTCAGACATCACTGGCAGCTGCTTATCCAGCTCATTTGCCACATGGCAGCACCCAGGAGGGCTTAGTCTGCATGATATGTTGGTGGTTTTATTGATCTTTTTGCCTTTGCCTCTGACAGTGACTTGGTTTTTTACACATGGAACAGGAAAACCAGCATCAGAAGCAGAGTAAGAATTCAGGGTGGCAGAACTAGTGATGGGAGACCTGTAAAAACTTTGCTATTATTATTTTGTGTTTTAAAAGAAAACGATCAACCTGGCTACTTTAAAGCTGGCAGAAAGCAGCTTTCTGGGAACACCTTCTGAATAGCACCATTTGACTGAAACAGATACGCAAAAGTATCTTTTCAAGCTTTTCCACTGGTGTCTGCAAGGAGGAACTATTTATTGCTTGGTCCTCGTAATCGGATCTACATGTTCCCTGCCTCAGCGTCTGTAGAGGTCCAAGCAGATGAAATATCTCCCTGGGCAAACCTGCTGGCTGAACGGAGGTCTCACTCATCATAAAGTAAATACTGAAACAGATCATGTCAGCAATCTCAGGCAAAGGAATCAAATCAGAGAAAAAACAGTCTTTCTGAAGTTTCACTCACAAAAATTAACTAGGCACTACACTTCTAGACACAACTGTTGACTCGAATTACACAGCGACTCCCTCACTAACACAACTCTCAACTTTAAGATACATTCTCATTGCTACCACGGTATGAAAGGACCTGCACTTACCTTTTTTAATAATTTCCCAGATATTGTTATATTTTTGCACAACAATGAAAGAAATTCAATACTACCACCACTGTGCTGACAATTTTACTCAAGCCATGCACTCAGAAATTCGTTCTGCTTGTATTCATATCTTAAGTGACCTCCAAAAGCCTTTTGTTAGAAAGCCTAGCAAAAATTAAAACTGCAAGCTATGAACATGCTTTTCCCTAACTGAGTGAAAATGCCAAGATCTGCTGTCACTTTAAAGTGACTTATATTCAGTCTGACAAACCAATCAAAGAACTCCTGGATTCCTTCCGTTTCATTACGGGAAGCTTACTTCCAGGTACAACGGTACAGAATTGGCCGGATGCAGTTGGGAACATCTAAATTTGCCGCTGAACTGGCAGGCTGCGTTCAGAGCAGGTTCTGGCTCTAAAACACGGGTGCACTGACAGAGTTTGGTGAATTCCATCCTACGACGAACCTCTCAGAAGAGGAAAGTAGCTTTAAAATACCTTTGACTTCTGCATCCAGCGGGGGAACGCAGGCTGCCCTAAGGGACTGTCACAGCGGCACAGGCCACCTCTGGCAGTCTCACACGTGGAGGAGGTCCTCAGTGCTCAAGGGCTTTTTCTGCCTTGAAGAACCCAGTGTCTGGGTTAATGGGCTATGGAAAAGGTGCAAGAAGATGCTACCTGGAGGACAGGTCAAGGCCAGTTCCCAGCACCCCATCACGCCAACCTACTCAGTTTTTGTCAACTGTGGCAAATACCAACTTGCAGTAACGTAAACCTGGGCCATGATGGCGATATTACATCTGTGTGATGCTTTTGGGATTGGCAGGCATAAGAGAAGAAATAATTTTGACCTACTAAAATCAAAGCGTATGTGCACAGTTTCACAATGTAGTGTACTACAGCACAATGACTACCAACCACACAAGTAATTCAATGCACATAACCACAGCAACAGTCAGCACATTCATCTCTTAGCTATTTATGAAATTAGTTACTTATGAAACGATCTTCCCTAAAACTGAGAGTGAAGAGCCAGGGCTGGCCAACCTCTTCTATTCTGTTCTGATACAGCTGCATTTCAAAGAGATGTCTGCCACAATTTTCTCCAAGCTCATACATCTGGGCTACCTTTCCCAGAGGAGACAACAAAATGAGCCTTCTGATTCAAAGCCTTTCTATGAGCTACTAAATGAATGTCACAGGCTTAACTTCTGCCCTTCCCATGTACAACAAAACCTCAGGTGCTGCATGTAGTGGTTTATGAAGATTAAGATACTAGCTAAAATAAGTCACAATACATGTTAACTGACATACTAACTGCATCCACACGGGTTCAGAGACCTTGAGTAATCTTGCCAACTTTATGCACATAATGCTGCCCACATTTCAGTTCTATTTGTCTGTGCTTATTTTACTGACTAGGAGCTTTACCTGCTCTGATATGCAGAACTTAATAACCACATACCGAGTCTTGGGGTATCTATTCTATTAACACCAGTGGCAGCTGCACTTACACATCAGGGAAACAGATCCTTCTGCTCTGACTCCACTCCCCAGCCTGCAAGCTCCAAACCACGGAAGAACAATTACTAATGCATCACCAGCGTAACTTCTGATTCTCTGTTTGACTGCACTCAGCAACCAAAGCCAGCTGAGTTAAGCCCATGAAAACATGCTACCAATTTTCTCCAATTCCTGTAGCTCACAGCCTGTAGCAGGAGCACTAAGTACAAAATCTCACCGTGCTGCCAACTTGAGATACATTCTCTGTTCAGGATACAAGGCTGACAAGCACAGGAACAAGGCTAACAGGGAGAGATTTGGGGTCATTAACCGTGATAGTATCAGAAAACTGCAAATTACATTGAAAGAGCCCCCAAACCAGGGTCATGCACTTCAATGACTTAGGGGAAAAAAAAAAAAAACAAACACAAAAAAAGCTTTACAAATAAGTTTAAGATCATATGGCCAAGTCACACACTTAAGTGTCCACCAAACGCCTACATATACTCTCAAGAAACAAGAGAAAGTAGTAATATTTCAGGTATGTTTCAGCACTTTTTTGCTGATAGAAGTGGTATCTTTTGCTACAGCCAATCTTATTTTCTGTCTTCTAGAGCTAACGAAAGAAAATTCTTGATGCAAGAACTGTATCAGATCTCTCACTCACAAGCCTGGGTGGTAGAACAGCTCGTTCACCTGTAAAGGGAGTCTCTTGGCATTTGCAAAGGAGTTTGAGAAAGTAGTTACAATCTGGAATTTGCCAAAGCCTTTCACAGCCTTGCCTCCCCCACCCCACTCCCTACGACCCCAAATCAAAAGCACCGAAGACATTTAAAAACAAGGCCAGGAGGCTATTTTGGAAACATAAGACCTACAAGAGATACAAATAGATTTGAGAAAATATATTACAACAGAGGATATTCAGTGTTTCTTGAAGGAGACGGGGTTTTTCATCATCCTGGAACTTTTTTGTAGGTGGATTTTTCATATCCCAGGACACTGGAGCGGTTCTTGGTTTTACAAAGAAAAAGCTGTGTTTTAGGTCCTTCCCCCTCATCCTCCAACATTTATTAATCCATGGTGGATTAAAAAAAGTAGAAATAGCAGTGATTTCCCTGAATGTAGTTAAGAAAAGTTATAAGGAAATATTGAGACTACTTTCTTCATGGCAGTTTGGGGAAGGAACACAGAAATTTGCCCTGGTTAACCATACACTCTTCTGCTGCTCACACTAAGAGTTTTTATCGCACTGGAAAGCACAGCACAGTCATTATGGCTTTACACAAAATAGAGGGGTTCTGCAAACCACTATTAGTTTATTTTATCCAATTATACATGAAAACACAGATATTCCCTTCTCCCACCAAGCCTTTTTTGGCAAAATCACAGGAGATCTAGCCTAACAAAAGAACCATATAAACCAGAGAAGACAGACAGTAGTGTGTTTTACTGTTGTTCAAATGTCCCCCTGCTCAGACATCTCTTCATGTTTTATTTATACTACTGATTATGCAGGTATTTAATACCCAGCAGTATTTAGCTCAGCTTTTCCTGCATCTGTGTCTTTACCAGAAGAGAGCAGCGGCAGAGAATACTCACAGCTTTTGCGAAGACCCCCATAAGCTCTGGGAACTGATGTGTCAGGAGGGCTAGCATGGCTGTGAAAGAACATAGTCCAGCAGTGAAGAGGATGAAGAAGGGAAGCTCTTTCTTGGGGTAAACTGAAACTTCATGAAATGCTGTGGAAAAGAAGATGGGAAGGGGAATGCATTACATGTAAAAAACTCCCAAACAACCCAACCAAAACCAAACCAACATTCTGATGTGGTTTAAACAGCCAGAGACACCTAAAGATGCTTTTGAAGGAAGAAATATAGAAGGTCTGAAACACCTAAGGCCAACATTATTGTTGTGTCAGCCATCTCACTGCCAAATAATTCTCATCTAAAGGTCGTATTTCTGGCTTACTCTGGTCCTATGTACACGTTTCTTTTGCCTTCCTTGTGTCAGCACTAACTGTAACACAGCTGTGCATCAACTAATCCCAAAAAACTAACTTAAAAATAATATATATATATATATATATATTTTTTTTTTTTACACAGGTGATTGACTAGCCACATGGCTGCATGTTTGGTAATGCTGATACCCAGAGAGTGCAGAAACACACGCACCCGGGAGCAGCAGTGAGACCAGCCTCGCAGAAGCATGGCTGTAGATCAGTTTAAGCAGGCTGTAAAACTACAGCCCTTGTAACAGCAAATTCTGAGAGTTTCATCTCCAGAACCAAAAAAAGTTGTCCTAAAACCTATCCTACCGTTCTGTGATTCTACGATTCTGTGAAAAGTAGGACATATAAACACATACTTTAAATTCAAATTTTCAGAATTCTTTGTATACTTAACAATATAACGTTTTTTTAAAGTGTTAAACCCTGGAACTTAAGTTAATAATAAGCTTTTAAGGTGTTTGTTAGTATACACTAAGAGCAATACAGAAATTTCCTCAACTCTGGCATGAAAAATTGTTCCCTGGGCTTTGGAGAAAGCAGCACTGAGAAGGCTAAAAGTGTCAGCAGAGAACAATGAGTATTTTACTGGAAGACTATATCCCTTAAACTTTTATGGTGGCTCAAATTCAAGGTGAAAATTTGGCTGGGTTGGCAAAAGGTCTGGTGGACTCTCATCTGCTTCACTCGTTCAGTCCATAGTTTGCGGCCACAGTCTCGATAAATGCAGACTTCGAAACTTTTTCTCATACAGCATCAACCTCAAGGCTTCCCATATAGTCAAACCCTATGACTATTCACACACACAAAACATTACTCTTCCTTTTTGCCTACTGTCTTCGCTTCACTGACCAGCCTCTCACCTCATCGTACTTGCAGACAACGTAAGCACAGGGTAATCCAGCAACATGGCAGGACAATATTCTTGACTTCATTCATCCAGAATGGAGTGGTTTCCAAAACCAACAGGAATTCGCAAGAGTTTAAATTAAAAAACTACAAACTAAAAATATGTATGATTTTTGGGTCTGCTAATTTAATCAGTTTTAAAAGAAAAACAGATAATTTGCAACTTCTCTTTGTTTTAAATTAAATGTAGAGACTGGGAAATACCAGATCATGGGCTTCTAAGCCTAAGATTTCTTGTGCTCAGCTTTTTGCACTTGCTTTTGACACAGGCTCAAACTTGTTGTTCCTGCCTGTCATCAAGTCATGGCAAAAGTTTTGTGATTGATATTTTTATTTTGGATAGCCTATCAGATTTTAGTGTTCTGATGTAATTCCAGCTGACTCTCCTTTAAAACACACACAATTAAAGGGTGTGGACAGGTATGCAAAACCCCTTTAACCAACCCATGTCTGTCACGGTATGTTAAACCCTTCCCTACTCAAACCCAAGAGATTTTGCAGTGAAAGGCATTTCCCATAACTGCTGGAGCAGAACACGACTGTCTCCATATGCTGTTAAAGAGCGCTTCGCTTCTAACATTTGACAAGAACGAATAGTTTTGCATCTAAAAAGAGAACGCTGAGCTATTCTGCATGACTTTGTCATTCCTAAATCTCCTGACACTCCACCCTCCCCAGCTCAGCATCCCTCTGAGTAAAGCAAGCAGAACACTCTAGGAGGTGTTGTTATAATTAGGGTGATTATAATGGGGTGGAGAGATGCTGTCAGTTGCCAAGGGTTTCTGTGTAATATCAGCGAGAATGTACTGTGAAGGGGAGACTCGCAATGAGTGGATTTTCGCTGTGTTATTCTCACCTAATGTTTACTCATGTAGGCTTATAAAAAGTGGCAACCTGTTTTTCAGTCCAAGCTAGAGAGGTTTGGAATGAAAGACTACAAAGAGAGCAAATGCCCTCAAAACCAGCCTTCACAGCAGAAGCAGGCCACATTCTACTTTTTCCTGTACCAATTTATCTTTATTCCTTCTTCAGGATAAAGAAGGTGAGAGAAGAATCGCCTTCCTTGGATCCATTTGTATTTGTTTCCCCTGCCCTGACCCTGCAAACCGCTCTGCGCTTGTGTGAGTTCTACCTGTGCTCGCACAAAGTCCCACTGTGAGAAAACACACGGGAATGAAGCGTAACTGTTTGCAGGACTGGCTGCTTCAGCTCTTCCTCTGCGTTCCTGTGCTTCATGGCATGCACAGCAATACGTCTCATTAGCTCTCGAGGGCTGGGTCTGTCTATATCTGTATCTTGCTGAGCACTGGGAACACTGTTGGCACTTTGCTAATACATGCCACAAACATATCTAATAAATGACTGAGTAATTTCACATCAATCTCTTCATAATAGCACACACCCCATTGCACGAAGAAAACTCTTTCTTGCTATTTAAGACTGCTTTTCAGAAAACATCAGCCCAACCTGTCAGTGTAACAGCTGCGTTCACGATACAGCTGGCCCCAAGCAGGTTTGGTCTTGCCTTGGAATTTAAGTAGCTAGTAGTGTGTCTAAGGTGGCCATGCCACTGCGCTTGTGGTTGGATGATGGGATGTTACCCTAGATGAAAGATCAGACATATTTTCCAGTGTCTTCGCAAGAGAGAACAGCAAGATCTAACCGATTTGTACCTCTTCAGCAATCTCTCTCCCTGTCCCTACGCTGGCAACAACCACAAAGATAGCGAATTGCTATGGACTATGGCTAGGAGCTGCCTTTTAGGCAGTCACGGGAGCTCCAGAGACTCACTGCCAACCCCATTAATCTAATCCAGTGTATCCAATTTAAAAGGCATCAATGGAGGTCAGTGCTGCAAGACTCAGGTAAATGATTCTTTGACGTTAACAGTAAGAAAAGTTGAACGTACATGGTAGTAGTTCTCTATCTGCAGTTTCTGTACAAATAGGGTAAGGATAGAAAAGATGTCCTTTTTCCAGTGGATAGGGGATCATTCTGAAAGCTGAAAAGAAAACAACACCAAGCACAAGTTACTGAGTGTGGCAGTCACTGGACATACTTAAGTGTATTTACAGTTTTGAAAAGCAAACACAGACAAAGTGTAACATTTATATTTGGTTGCAAACGGTATATAAATTGTTTAATGAAATGCCAAAACATAAATCTACACTTAGCTTTTAATCCTGCAAACACTTATGTTTATTTTTATTCTTGGGAGAAGGTTTGTGAGCATCAAGTGAGACCACATTACAAGTACGCACATAAATGTTTGCATGATCTGAGCCCATTGTACTTGCAACTCCATAGCCAAATCTACACATTTTGTCTTCGGCTTTTAGGCTGCAGAATTTTTAAATATCAAGAGAAAGAAGTATATCTGATACAACAGGTATTGCCTACAAAAATGACCAGCCAAGCTTGTGAATTCAGGCCAATACTTGCAATCTCTATGCATCAAGCATGACAGAAGTTTTGCATGGAAAAAAGTACACTACTTTTTTCCCATCACGCTCCAGCAAACCAGGTAACACTGATGACTCAAGCCCAGAGAACCAGTTTTCCCACACAGTCATGTTTTCATTTTATATTTGGCTATCAAAGATTAATACTGAATTATTAAAACCAGGTTCCTCACACGCATTCTTTTTAAATGCAGCAGATCAAATCAGGTTTCCAATATAAATCTTCAGGTCATGGATTAAATAATACACAATCTTATGCATTTTTAAAATTGAAGCTAATAACAGAGAGGGAGGGAAACATTACTAAATCTGGACAGTGATGATGTCACAGGCCATCTGAGTGTGGTTTATGGAACCATCAGAATACTTGACTGAATTACAGCTTTGCAATCAAGGCATCCTCTTCCACTATCTTATGTATTATTCTCACTGTTAAAATGTCATCAACGTGTTATTCTCACTACTCCTATGAACATCAGTCACTGAAGCAATATTTTCCTCCACACATGTCCTAGAAGCACTGTGTATTTCAGATGTTAGGCAGAGCCCACCACCCCAGGATAGCACTCCATTATCTCTTGCTCACAAGACAACTGAGGAACTGGTCTACAACACACAATACCGCAGTATTTCCAGTTACACACACTGCACTTGAAATGTTAGCTGTATTTTTTATGCAATTATATGAGTGTATTTATTCTTGATTACTATGTTTAATGCAATAGTAAAGACAGCATAAATCCTCAAGGACAGTAAACCAAACTGGGCTGTAACCTCTTCCAGTACTAAACCCCCCTCTCCATAGTACCCCAAAAGCCAAGTACAAATACAATAATAATCCAAGCCTTGTATGTCCTTCACATGCAGAAAACTTGAATGTCTGTACAAAAACGTACGTGGAGGGATGTTCAATGCTCATTACTTCAAAATCACTAACACAGTTTTTCCTTCCAATTTGGCTTAGTATTTAAACAGACAGTCAAGCCTCTTCTGCCTTACCCTAAATCACAGTAGTACTAAGATTCCAACCCAAATAAAAAGGGATGGTAAAGATGCCGCTTTTACAAAACAAGTGAAAAATGCCTGAATAGATTTTGCTGAATTGAAACAGTCCTCTTTGTCACGAGACCAAATATGGACTATTCACAGCAAAACAGTTTATTTAGCAATGTTATCAGCCATGGAAGAAAGTGCTCTGGTTCCTCTGTATCAGTCTGTGTTCACGTAGGCACTTCTCTGCCTTACTCTTACAATATTATCTGATCCTATTTTACATTCATCAGCTCAGGTAGCACAGATGCAGTCTGCCACTCAACCATGTGGTCGTTGTAAAAGCTACCGTAGCATTTGAGAACCCCTAGGTTCTTCTTCTTTATGCAAACAATAGGAAACATGACACAAGTTTAGGAACCGACAGTGACGAACAAATACCTCAGACTCTTTTGAAATTTGGTTACACTTGAAACTACAGACCTTCTGCACAGAGCACCTGGACCAAACCCAGAGCAACATTTCACGTGGTGTCACTTGGGCTTCTTTAGTTGTACTATGAATAAAACTGTACTTTGATCAAATGAAGACAGAGCAGGAAACAACCAACGTTCCAGTTCGATGATGATCATTATTTTTATATCCTCACTTTTCTCAATTGTCGAACGCCATTTGGGAAAAACACTGTGAGAATTTCGGAGTTTAAAATACCACAAAGACATTTCTGCATACATTTTATTAGAGGCTCTTAATTAGGAGTGACCTTATTCTCCTCAGAAGCATCCAAAACATAGCCCCCAAGTGACTGGCTTAATATACTTAATTCTGCCCAATTCCCACAAGGTCAGAACTGAACAGTGTATATATGTGGGCATGAAATTCCTACATACAAGCTACTAAAGTGGGTCTTGTGGTTTTTTAAGCACTCTGACGGAACAGTACACTTTAAAGACATGGCAAGTACATAAATACCTAGAATGAAAGCGAGGGCAACTGACCATGTATTGTACATAGACTGTTGGTTAGAATTAGTATTTAATTAAATTTAATTTCCCTGTCATCTTTGCACTGGTTTTAACTTATAATTGCGCAGAGATGACAAGGAAACATTTTGCCAGTGAAAGATGTGAGTGACACAAACAGTTTACTACATCTGTAAAGAACATTACCCAGACTAAGATACGGACAGAAAGTTATGACTGTTGGACTAGATACTGGTGAAACCACCAAAACCCATGGGAGTCTTTATGTGGGAGCAAAATCTGAAGAGAATTCTTGAGGATTGGTCCAGTGTTCATCTCTGTCTGAAATCACTGTGCAAAGCGTATTATGGATTTTTCCTTAGAGGTTATGCAGCAATACTCATTGACATCTTTATAAGCTACTATACCAATATTAGCTAATAAAGTACATACTCAGATTGCTGTGGAGGTAATAAGCAGAGGAATCAGTTATTGTAGTTAGATGGGAGTGCCCTACACTGCCTTCAGGCACAGATGACTAGATCTCCTGAGTAGCAGGAAGTCTGCAGGGCAGCCAGCCTCCTGTGCCAAAAGCTGGTCCTTGTAAATAGCCCCCTAGGGACCCCCCAGCCTGACAAAGCAAAAGAAGATCTGTTCAAGATTCCCTGCAAAACACTGCTCCATAATGATGGGATAATGAACCTTGGGCTAAAGGACTTCTGCAAGCATCTGGAAGAGGAGAAACACTATGTGAAGGCAAACCATTGAAAATAAGCCACTGAGAAGGAAGCTATGACAGAGAAAATTATAATAGACTGGGAGAAATGACAGGAAGAGAGCAAGCAGGTATGCAGCAGAGCAAACCTCAGGCGTCAACAGTATGGATTACTGAACAAGGTGTTCTATACACCTAGAAATAAAGCCATTGCTTCCTCAGGGAGCCTACACTGGAGATGAGGCAAGTTCAGGCCATTTCTTACAGTGACTGAGAGAGTAAGTCACTTTTACAATGGAGGTATTAAGTGCATTTCTGTAGGAATTATCATGGTGACAAACTATTTTTTCTAACAAAGCTAAAGGACAACAGCAAATGGAGAAAGCAAAAAAAAAAGTTAGAAAGTTGGTATAATAACACATGCAGAGGCTGAAAGAAAACAGAATAAAGTAGAGCAGAAAAGGGGAGCTAGATTACATAAAGAAAAATCAGCATTTAAAAAAGCCCACAAAGGCTGATTATAAATGGTACTTTTTAATTCTCTGAAACCTGAAAAAGGCCCATCTCAAAGACAGGATAAGGGAGGTTAGAAGGTTAGTATATGACCTTTGGAGTCCAACCTCCTACTCAAAGCAGGGTCATGTTGCTCAGAGCCGTGTCCAGCTCAGCTCCAAGTATCTCTGGGAATAGAGATCCCACAACCTATCAGCAACCTGTTCCAATGCATCACCACTCTTTCTGAAAATATTTTTCTTATGTCTAGATGAAAGTTCTCTTGTTTCAACTTGTGTGTATTGCCTCTTGTCTTTCCACTGCGCCATTCTGCAAAGACTCTGACTCTGTCTTCCGTATCATCTCTCCACTGGGTGGTGGACGACAGCAGCTGGATCCCTCCTTCACCTACCAGAAGTCTTCTCCAAGTTGAATAAAACGAGCTCCCTCAGCATCTTTTCCTACATCACATGTTCCAGTCCCCTAGGCCTCCTAGTAATCCTCCACTGAACTCACTCCAGTTTGTAAATCATAAAAAAAAAAGTCATAAAATACTGCTTTTTTTTATACTATACACTAATATTTATCTGCCTATAAGGCACCTTCATAATTCCCCAATATCAAAGCATTAATGGAATCATAGAATGCCTTGGGTTGGAAGGGACCTTAAAGATCATCCAGTTCCAGCCCCCCTGCCATGGACACGGACACCTTCCACCAGACCAGGCTGCGCAAAATGCCATCCAACCTGGCCTTGAACACTGCCAGGGAGGGGACAGCCACAGCTTCTCTGGGCAACCTGTTCCAGGGTCTCACCATCCTTATTGTAAAAAAATTATTATGTCCAACCTAAATCTGCCCTCTTTCAGTTTGAAACCATTCATTCAAAGAATAATAACGAAATCTCTACAACTCTGGAATGAGGAAGGTAAATTGTTATCCCCTTATCCATGAGTAAGAAAATAAGTCTCAAAAAAGATGGGAAATTTTGTTCAGTATTACACAGAGAACACAATCCAAGACTTCAGAACCCTTTTTCTCATTAAAAGAGGTTTCTATTTTCTGTTTGAATCTCAAACATTTCAGTGCTGGTGACGATGTAACTGACCTCCAAAATTCCCACATACTATACTTCACAAAAAGCTATTATTTTCTCATGACATTCAATAAAAATATTTGATTAGCTCCTTTGTAAGAAAAGAGAATTACTTACTGCCTTCCCATGTGCAGTGCAAGAGATTCAATGCCCCCTCTACTCTTTTCCAGTGTTGGAGATGAAAGAAAGCATATGCTATTGCTTCACTGTCCCCTCTCTTCAGAATATGTTCAGGGGGCAGAATTAAGCTTTTCATTTCTAGTAGATACTGCAATAAAAAAGCAAAGCACAATTATTTCAGAGGTAATAAAAACCACAAAAAGCTGCCTGCAGTTCTGCAATGCACACTGAAAGGTCTATTTCCCTGAAGTACTTTACCTCATAAGTGTTTCATCAAATGTGTAACATCACCAACTGCACTTGAAGATAATTATTGAATTATTCCTAAAGACTAAGATATGCTGACAGATGGTTAATGTTCTGCTCTTCATCTGCAGTAGGGGGACTACAGAGAATTTAAAAATGAGATGTCTCTCTTATCAAAGGACATGGAAAAAAGGGCTCAAAGCAGGAAAGAGAATCTAATTACAAGAGCTTTTTAATTAAAAGTGTTTATAATAAAATGAAGAAGACATTAAGCAGTTTGATGCACACAGTCTTTCTATAAGGAAACACGCAGTACTCATAGTTTGCACACAGGTTGCTCTACTGCATTGCCACCAACCGGTTGCCAGGTCTATGAATACTCAAGGCTGGCAGCCACCTAAGTAGCTACCAACAAGTTACAAAGTAAAAAAAGTTCTAAAATGTAACAAACACTTGATTGCCAGAAAAAAAACCCTGGATATTTAAGCTTGCTACGCGAAATAGTTACTGAAAATGGCATGAAAATGAAAAGCGCCACTGACTAAATCCACAAGCAATTTTCCCCGCTACTGGATCCCCTGTAACGGAAGCAGATGAAACACACGGAGGGTTCATGCCAAAGGAGAAGACAGAGGTTCCGGACATCATCCAAACAGGTGATTTTTACCTCGTTCCCCAGCCCATGAACTAGACCACTACCAGTTCAGCAGACATTATCTCATCACTGGTGTTACAACATTCCAGTTAGTGGAGGGGAAAGACACAGTGGAGGGGAAAGATACAGCCCTTGTTGGCATGCTGTCCAGGGAAAGGAATGACAGACAGAAATCACAGGCTGCCCAATCCACCCCCGTCTGCCAGTTCTCCTCTGAGAAGCGCAGCGTTTCCCAGCTGTGCACTCACTGCTCTTCAACAGCACGGGGAAACTGCCCCTCTCTTCCAGGACGCCCGAGAGCCAATGTTCTCCCCACCAGGCTACGTAAGCTACCGCAAAAGGCAGCAGGCGAGTCGGGCAGCAGACTGCCAGGCCCTAACACAAGGTTCGGAAAGGAAAGTTACGGCTGATCGTTGGCAAAAAGAGAGTGAGTGTGCAGCCCCTCCGCGGCACCCGGGGCCTACGCACAGCTCTGGAAGGAGGAGGGCTGCAGGACCCAGGGACTGACAACCCAGTGCAGGCACCTACAAGAAGGCAACGGGACACCAGAGGTGAAACAGAGGCATAGGGCAGTGCTAACCTTCCACAGCTCCTGTTAAAGGCTCACTTTTGTGAATGGGATGAGCTGGTACAGAAAAGAGGAGAAAAGAGGGCAAAAGAAATAAAGGAGAGTTGGAAATCAGCCTGGGGGAAAGGCACAGGGAAGGCCAGAGGGAAATGAGCGCCAATAGCTGATGTCACGGAGGGTATCCCAGAGCTAGTCACTCCTTCGCCTGCAGGAGCCTGGAAGGAGCTAGCAAACAGGTAAAGGATTTGAAGAGACTGTGATCAAAGCAGAGAACTGTCAACTCTGGCAAACAGATAATTACTTCAAAGAGGAAAGATAAATCACATGTGTTTCTGATGCAGGTAACAGTATTAAAGGAGGAGAAACTGAATTAGCAGTGGGAGTAATAAGTGTGGTGCTTGGATTTTCTCTAAAGCCTTTCAGAAAAATCTGAGAGCTGCAGAGGAGGTGGATTAATGGAGGAACCTTTATTTCAGTAGCCAGGACAGGGGATTAAGAGTGACAGAGAACAGATTAAAGAGCTGACAAGGGGGAGGGAGCTGCCAGGCTTACAGAGATACAGCAAACATTCTTATTCACCGCCCTAATGAATGTGCCACCCTTTAAAAAGACACATTATACCTGTCGAGCAGAATGGAATACAGCTGCAAGAGCTGCAGGTTTCTATCTGTTTTGTTAACTTAGAACATAACTCCTATTTCTATATTTTTTGCAAAAGTAAATGAGAAAGTAACTTCTCAATATTTAAATATTTCAATCAAAGGAAAAAAAACCAACACACCTAAAGCCACTATTTTCCTACAAATTTCCTGTCACTATTTGTAGGAAAAGAAAAACCAGGAAGGAATGTCCTATTTCTAGGAGTGCTGAGATGAAAATGTGTTATTTTGATTCTTATGCACTGCTTGTTATCAGCGATTAAAAACAAATCAAGTGGAAATACCAGATGGAAGGAAATATCTTGACACTTGCAGATCATTCTTAGTCCTCACTCAGTCCAGTCTGCATTTTTCTGTTTCAGAAAGAAAAACCTATTTTTAAAAGTTCCTCTGATCAAAAATGTGTAACACTCCTACCTCAATACTCTATTGCAGCTACCTTCCCAAACAAAAAGTCCATAATCTGGTTTGGTGATATTTAGGAAGACCCACACACAAAGTTGACGGATGGCTCAAGTCTCATTTGGGTCTCGTAATAGTTTTTGGCTTACACACAAAGGTCAGCCATACCTTTTGGGCATACAAGCTGTCAATGAATTTATTCTGGAGGCATTTCCATCAGGAATGCTTATCGTACACAGCCCCAGAGAGACCTTGTCTGGAACACTCTGTACAGTTCTCATCAGGCACTTTCAAAGACATAAAGATCAAATTCTACAAGTACAGAATAGAGCAAATCAAAGAAATGGCAAGTCTGCTTTGTGAGAGGGCACTTGAAGGCCTCCATCTGTTTAACTTTTCTGCATACGAGTAGCGGGTACCAAAAAGGTACCTAGCTGGAGGTAGAGCTTGATTATTGTGGAAGGAGAGATACGACTGTCCATGAAAATTAGGATGGTCTTGATGTCCTAGAATATCATATCCATTCGTGTGTAACTGTATTTTCAAGGACAGTTCAAGAGCACAGAGGGCATTCAGGCTCCTGGAAGACAGGGCTCAGGGCCTATCTAGAGACAGCATAGCCAAGGGCAGCCCCCTTTTATGGTAACTGCAGGCTACTGGCACCCAGATACTTGACAGGCAGGACTGCGTCCCAGCAATCTTCTGGATTTCTAGTAGATTGTCCATTAAATCAACACAATCCCCCTGAAACATTTTGGATTGAACAAGCAGAAATGAAATTAAATGAAAAAACTCTTTCTTCAAAAACTCTCCAGTAAGCTGTAGTCCTCATGCTGCCCATGTAATGTGGGAATCACCGTCCTGATGGACTTCTGCACGCACCAAGTATCTCCAGCCCTTGGAAAAAGCAGCCAAAGACATCAGACTGTAGTTTCCAAGAGGCTGCTATTGCACTTAATCAAAGATACTACACTAGACGGGTACAGCCTTCCCTCAGCCACTGAAGACTTCAGGGTGGGAATCTGACTATTTAGATCTCAACATATAAAGTTGAGAGTCAGACTCAGTCCAGAGCCCAGCTCTTGTTGTTACAGGACTCATATGGACACAAGATCCTATCACACCACTAAAATTCATACCAGTATAAACTCCACCTGGCTTTACTAGAAAACAACTCGCGTCTCTTGACAGACTCCCCGTTAACTGTAACTCCTGATACACGTATCCTCTCAGATTCAACCACAACCTTTACAATTTAAGTTACAAAACTTCACTACCTTTTCAATCCTTTGAATAGACAGGGAAGATGGGAGCCCTCTGTCATCCTGACTGGGCTCCGCACCCAAGAATGGTTCCAGTTCAGATGGAGAGCAAAGTAACAGAAATAAGAAACTTAACAAAGAGCTAGCCATGACGGAGGAAATGGGGATGGCAGGCCCAGCACATCTCCAACCGCATTTGTTTTTCAATTGATGAATGAAGAAATTTAACTAGAATGGGAAATAGCACATCACCACCATCTGGTGTTATCATGTTCCTTTAAACAAGGAATTAGCTCAGAAAAGACAGTCTAGAAAATTTCAGTCAGAATGACCCATTCTTAATCAAGTTATGAGTGAATACTAAAGTTGCACAATGATTTCTGTCATCAACAGATGGCTCAATCAGCCCTTCTCCACTGCATTGCTCCAGCTGGGATTTTTTTTCGTTGTCTTTTTTATTTTTCTTGTCTCTCTCTTCTCTCCCCGCAACCTTTTTCCTGTCAAATCCCTGTATTTTAGGAGTTACAACAAGGGTAACAGTATTTTTCATGTGCTTCCACAGAGGGCTGGGTTCTGGGCCGGTTATATGATATTGTAACAGCTATTGCTCAGCCACAGCCACTCCGTGCACATATGGGAACACGTCTTTTTAACGAGCATTTGGAGGACGACAATGGACTTTGTACACATGAAGTGCAACATGGTGGAGTTTATATTTCTCTTAATTGAATTGACTGAATATACATTATTTACTTCCTAACATTGACAACACTCTGGCTACTAATTCTCCTCTGCTGGGAGTGCTTTTAACATTCCACATTAATGAGCTACTTCAGTGCCCTGAGATTGATTTATTTTATAAATCTCAGACAGGTTTCCTCCTTTTCCTCAATTGTGCAATTTGCCTCTGAAATTACAGCTCAGGCCGCAAACAGGCAATAGTCACTCCTGCACCTGTGGCAGCATCCCTCCAGGCCAGAATATGAGTATTTAACATTGTTTGAACAGGAACTCTCCTCCTCCCAGCGGGACGAACAGCACAAGCTTAAAACAGTTCCACCACACTGGTTTCTACATGCCCAGAGAAGCCACTTCTGGGTCACCTTACAAGTCCTCATTGGATTGACGGTAATTAAGAAGTTTGGCCTTTTTGCTGGAGATACAAAACCAAACCACCGCCTCACTGAACAGTTAAAAATTCTCTTAAACATGTCTGGAATAGTTTCTCTGTAATATCATGGGGTGTGCAGAACAGATTCATTTCCCATCTGGTATATGAATTTGTTTGCATTATTTGTTTCTATTAGCAACTGCAACTTACTACAAACCACACAAGCATACAGTCACGGTTTCTATTAAAAAAATTAAAATAAATAAGAAAGAAAACAGAAGGGGTGAAACGTAGAAAAAATTAAATCTTTAAAAGCCTTTAAGTCACTGGTTTGTTACATTCTTTTAAGAAACTGTTTACATGCAAAACTGGCATTTCTTAAAGTAATATCGATATTTAAGTTAATTCAAATGCAGAAAAAGTCAGCAGGTAATTTCTTGAAATAACTCATCTCCTGGGTTACATAGCAAACCCACAGAACTGTGTGCAGAGCACACTTCTGACTCACTTTTAACAATTAGGTATATGGACTGTTGTCTGTTTTCTCTTTGACTTTACTGAATGGCTCGTGTCTCACAGATCACAGAAAAGAGGAGGGGCTTTTCAGGAGGAGTTTGAATGCAGGGAGGGAGCATTGCAGATCAGTTTAGCAAGGGTGTTCCACAATTGAGGAAAGTCCCAGAAACAGCTGTGGTACTTTGCCAGCATTATCTTGGGATAGCTGCATTACGTGTAAGTGGAGAAGCTCCAAACACAACGTATAAATAATATTGATGAAGTCGTGCAACTGTGTGTGTGTGTGTATACGGACACGCTTTTTTCCCCACCCACTCCACACGTTATGTACTCTCCATGACATGGGATGTACTACTCTCTTTTCCATACAAAACCCTCTGGAATTACAGTGATACCCCAACTGCTTCAGCAGCAATAAAAACCTTTTTGTTTAACTCTTAAATTTTTGAGCAGCACGTTATCAGACAGTGTCAGCACATTTCCTTGGGACTAAAACTCCACAGTGCATGACGCTACACTAAAACTAAAGGATACTAGTCCACTGAAATTTAAGACAAAGATGGTTGAAAAAAAAATTTCAGACAAATCTGCACAAACGAGTGATACAATTTTCTGTGTTTCTTCTCATGGTGAAATTCACAGGTCTTTGCTTTGTTCTCTTTCCTGCTGTACTGCTGACTTCAATCTGCTACTGGTTATGTTCTTCTTCTACTAAAAAGAACCCTGAGAACACCTGCCTGTGTTCTTGAAGTGCTTTCTTTTTACATAGGCAATCTCTGCCAAAGTATAAAGCTGCAATTTGCTGTAGCTGTTTTGTTTCAGTAACAGAAACATGACAAACTGTAGATAGACATAATACCTTTGATCAGATATTTTTTCTGGTACAGCTTAAAAAATTAAGCCACTTTCAAGCACAAAAACCTTTTTACAGGTGAGATGTCTTCAGAATGACAAGTCTTGATCAGTTTAACAGTGGTTCCATTTTCGCTGCAGTCAACAAGATCATAGTTGATAAACCCGAGCTGGCCTCATCCAGAAACAGCACAGCCAGGTCAGTTTCCCAGCTTCCTGGAGAGATCTAGCAGGCTGCACTGAGCTCTGCATTGCCCTTGTTCACTTAAACCAAATTCTAGTACCTCCAGTGTCACATCTTGACTCCAGTGTATTCCAAAAACAATGTGAATTTACCACTTAAGGCTTAATGGACTGATCTCTGGGAATTAAATAGTCATTGAAATGGACGCAAAAATGGAAGAAGAGACCTGTGTCAAAAGGAGGTTACTTGCTGGAGGACTGGCTGACTCAAGAAAGACTGTCAGCCATATTAGGTCTCTGTAAAAGGCATTTTTGTGCAGACAGAAAATAAAAACCAAGGTGAGGCGTAGTCATCTAAAATCAATGAAAGTGGGTGCAAACATCTTCATGACATACATACTAAGAAGACTCCCAGAACCATGCATAGACACTGGTTTCTATGTGGAAGGTAGGTGTTTTTTCAGGGTTTCTATGAGAAGATGGCAATCTGGGACTTTTAAATTGATTCTTCTTAAGAGGTTCTTACATCTTTAGATTACATTCAAAAGAAAGCTAAGTAGTATATCCGACCTCTGAACATCACTACAGAACACTGGACTGCAATCTGGCCATAATCTCCTAGGGAAAAGTCAGCACCATTGTAAGAACTCCATGGTTGTTTTACACAAATCTGCAACAGGACACAACGGGAGACCCACTCTCCCTTTCTTGCTAAATCCAGCTCAGCAGCATCTCTCAGCATGTTCAGAGTGTGTTCCCTGCTTCCCTTTGTCTCAGAATCTCATTAGCAAAAATCTGCTATTTCCAGTTAAAGGTCTTGAAAGTTCATATCCAGTAATAATCTTCTTATGTGATAATTCTAAATTTTAATAATTTGCACCGAAAATGGTAAAATCTCCTTTTGAGACAAACCAGAAACCTATCAAACCATTTTTTTACTCTTTAATACTGCAGTTCCCTGCTTTTGAGGCTTCCACTGGGAACTTTGGAAATGCTTTAAATAATTTGTCACCTTTGTGATTCATTTCTTCCTCAGTCTGAAGAAGAGACTCATTAGTGTTTAAATCCTAAAAAAGCAGTGAAGACATATTAGTTTTGTGACACTGTTAGATTTCTTGTGATGCTGTTTGATAAAACTTATCTCCATTAAGAACAAATTGGATATGACTTCAATCATAATTGAGTGGAAATTGAGGTGTAATATCCATCCTGTGCATAAAATTATAACCAAAAATACATTTTTGCCACTTAAATATCCTTTAGTTAATAGCAGAAAGAATGAGTGTGAAATCAGCAGTGCTGCATATGAAACTGTACGAGGCTATAGTGTTTTAATGTTAAAATATGAAGTAAAAAATCCCTAGAGTCTGCTCCCATTACTACCTTGTTATCCTTATAATTTATATGTTTCACAAAGGTTTTCAATTTCAACATGATAGACTTTGAAAAACTGAGGAAATCAATTAACAATGTGAACTCACTGAAAGGCTCAGGAGCTCAAGTGAGGAAGAGGACTAGAATTTCTTTAAATCAAAAGCACCAAAAATAATACACAATCTGCATTTCACACATGGGATTACTTGTCAGAAAGGAGATAGAGCCTTGTATTGAACAGCCACCTAAAGGGAAGCTGGCTAGTGAGAAGGAGATGACAAGTGATGAATGACAGTACTGATCTACAAGAAAAGCAGGATCTTGGCAGTCTGGAAGTGCAGAGGTTATGGAGCAACTGCCACGACTTATGGTAAGGTAGATTTTACAAAGTCAAACCAAAGAAAAGAAAGCTCTTAAGTATAAACAGAAGAAGAACAGGCAAAAAGGTAGTAAATGAAGATTTAGGCTCACTTTCATGGCAGTGCAGAGCACGCAGACAATAGCAGGACGGACATTAGGAGCATGTACGGCCACTGCAGCCAACAATCTCTGTCCCTGAGCAGTGTATGAACCAGCCCCAGAAATGGCCAGACTAGCATAACTGACTGAATGCAAAAAGATCCCCGCTCACAATCAAGGGATACAGTGATGACAGAAGTAAATGTATTTAAAAGTAAATGCATTTAAAGAGGAGGGAGACAATATATGTTAATATAGAATTGTTAGTATGCAAACTGTTAAAAAAGAATTTTATGGAAAGAATTATCAAATGCATGGAAGTAAGTGAGAAACATAGAACAGGCTCCCAAGGATTGCTCCTGACAGACTAAACTAGTATCTTTGCTTGGCAGGGTATCTAATTTTTTAGATAGCAAGGACAGAATACTCTAACCAGGCTTCGGTAAAACATTCAGGAAGGTAAATCCAGAACAGGACCAGAATAGAGAGTTAAACAGGCAACCAGGCAGAAGAGGAATATCAATGGTTGTTTTGGTCCAAGAACCATTGGATGGAAGAAAGTAAACAGAGTTCCACAGAAGCAGTCTTGGAACCTAACTTCATTTAATATTTTCATTTTATAGCTTGGCACGAAAATAGAAGACTGGCTAATAATACAAAGGGACTCATCTCACTTAAATCTTGTTGTCTAAAAATAAGGCTTTTACTGGAAAATAGTTCCTCCTTTCATAGTCAATGTAGAAACAGGCACCTTGGAGGGAAAGTCTGTCTAGAGATGTCTAAGATAGTTCCTTCTTTCCACTGCCTGTAGAGGAAGTCTAGATGATTTTATTAAACAAACAGCCTGACTTTCAGATAGCTAAACCATGCTATTTAGTGGTTGGCATAACAGATACAGCTCACAGAGAAAATACTTAATTCCTGCAATACGTGAGAATTAACTTTCTGCAATCCATGTGTGCACACGGAAGAGGTCTGGGGTTTTCCCTGACCAGACTTGGTGTTCAGCTGTACCTAATGAATAGGCTCCCTACATTAACATGCACCAGTCTTCTGCCCTCCAGTAGAGGCTGCTTACTGTCAAAGGGCAATACTGGTCCAAAGGTTTGTGGGGTGAGGTTCAGAGGCAGATTTCCAAGGGCCAAAAAGCATCTGCCTCTAGTTTGCCTTTGCAACGAACTTACAGACTGCAACACCGAGTACCAGGTGAGGAAATAATAAAATACATTAGCTTTAGTAGCCCCTGGGCAAGATTCTTACTGCTGAGATACTTACCTAGAGAGGGGATTAGGGAATTAGAACATAAATCCCTTTTCTTACTTTGTAGTTCTCAGCAATTCTTCATCTCTGAGCTTTGCATTCTCAGAACTTAATGACAGGGTGCTGCATAAGGAATTACTAATGTAACTTGTATGAAGCATACCATGAACTCCAAACATAGGTTCCTTCACATAGCATGCCAAAAACATATTTTCACATGCAATCATCAAAACAAATAAACCATGCTCTTTTGAACTAGAAGATCTTTAATGGCTATTTTGTAAATAATAACCTGTCTTTATGTGTGGTTCTGTCCTGCAGCGCAGCATTTGGTGGTGTCTACTACTGCAATCCACCAAGTAATTGTTGCCTACATAGAGGAGCCAATTCAGCTAAAATTTCAAGTTGCACGGTCCACAGTAGAAGACACTGAATGTGAAATACCAAACAAAAAACCTGTGTATACTATCAGCTTCCTTCCTTTCCCATTGCTCGCTCCCCTTTCCACAACATCTCTCGTTAATCCAATACAGAAATCAGGAGTTAGGTTCTCAGCAGCGTTAAAGCTACAACAATGCTTTCTCCATACTCACTTTTGGCACATGTGGATTAAATTCTACTGCTCTGTGAATAGCTTCTACTGCATTCATCTCTGCAGTACTCAGCCCTCGCCTTGAGGCAGCCTCTGGAGAAAATCTACGAAAGCAAAGAAACAAACACAGTAGGTCAGAAATGCTAGTAAGAAAAAGACAGAAAAGGAATCTAGAACACGGGCCCATGTAACAAACTGAGTCAACTTCCTATGCTCTCCAAACTTCCATAGCAAGTGGAAACTCTGAGTGATCTATTACATCAAGGCCAATGAAAATCCCAGCAGAAGTGGAAAGCATGTTTGCATCTAATCATGGCAGAAAGTCAGTTCAAACAGTTCTTTCTCTGTCACTAATCTAAATTTGCTCTAGGTACCTTGCTAAGGGGCATATTCAAGGCTGAACTTGCAGAAAAAAGAAAAGCAAAAAAAAAAAAAACAAACCCAAAACAATGCCAAATTATTGTTGGAGGGTTTCTATTAAAAACAGGTTTGGGGAGGTTTTAGGGAGGTTCCCAACCCAATGCCCCTGGGTCAGGTTGGGATGGAAGCACGATGCAGCAGCAGTAGCGGGTGGTCTACTGGCCGCAGCACCATTGAGGGTAGCATGCCCAAACTGTGGGCAAATCACCTGCCCCAGTGAATGAAAAACCAGACCATGCAATCTCTTTCTCACCTCACACCCCACGGCTAACTCCAGAGCTGTACTTGGCAGGCAGACACCACAGGGAAAGCTGTGACAACCTTAGCCCTGCCCTCCCAAGCTGGAGTCGCTGTGTAGGGAGGAAAGATGTTGCAGTAGGTACTGGCGATCTACAGGATAAAAAGAATGAAAGAAAATTACTTAGATCTTGATGTGTACATACACTTTAAAAGCAAAAACTGTCAGGACGTCAGTCAAGAAAATGGCTTTCCACTCTACTTGCTTTCCAACTTTAGGGAGGCATTCGACCCTCAGGTGCACAGACACAACTCTGCCTGGGATTTGTGTGAAGGCATCTGAGAGCAGAATTGGGATTTTTGAGCTCCATCTCAGAAGGAGCTGAGCACCCTTTCAGAGCGGGCCAGAGCTCTCAAGTCCACAGGCATCAAGCAGACGTGCTCAGAACCTTGGAAAGTTGCGACCCAAGAGAAAATCGTAACAGGAATGAGCAGATTATTTGTGTCTCTAAAAATATGAACATCATCTACCTCTCAGAATCCCTGACGTAGTAATGCTAAATCCACCTGCCGCTATTTAAGTAGATGAGCAGTTTTCTGACAACAGCACTTGTAAAATGACATTGCTACCAGCGCATCCACATTTATTTATTACCTTTTTGTGGTCAGGTTTATACAAAGTTGAAGAGGTTCAGCCACACAACACCTTTTAGTTGCATCTCCATTATACTATCTAGGAAGCCAAAGCTCACCCAGACAGTATACATAAAACTGAAACAAGAATTAAACTTATACTGTTTCTCTTCTTTTCTTCTTCTGTAATATTTGAAGCACAATGTTTGATCACTGCACATTTTACTTATATGTAAAGTCATTTTACGAATTTACTGCAGGACTGAAATCTCCTGCTAACCCAGCAGACTGTTAGGGTGTGGGCTCAGCTAAAAGAAATCTCGAGTTAAATCAGCAATTTTGCTGGACAGTGGTTCTTATGCACTTACTTGTCAGAGACAGCTCTGGCTTTGAGCAATGCAGCTGTGTAACATATTGTTGCTGATTTTGGTAAGCTTATATCTGTTGAAAAGAAAGAAAAAAGTAAACATCTGAAAATTTAAAAGTCTGCAGAAAAGTCTGTTTGATTGATACTTTGGAGTATACATGGCATACACAAAATTACTATGTGAATTCCGAATACTTTCTGATCTGGGGACTTATACTCCCATGTCACATGGATTTTTAAATTTCCACCCAATATACAGGCTTTAAAACCTGTGTTAATGACCACTACAACTGCTATTTAAGCAGCAACTGGGTTCATTAGAGAACTAATTCAAAGAATGACATGACAGAGACATAATGAACGAATTCATTACTCCATACATAAATATGTAGGTAACCTGGAATACATGAATTTTTTCGTAGTTCACAAATCATCTAAGTAATAGCTGAGGGCTATCATATTCTCCCTTCTTGTTTTCACTCAGAAGCAGTTGCCTAATATGAATGTGTGTCAGCTGTACAAGTTAAGACAGCTATTTAAGTAATAATGGATTTGACCTGCAAGCAAGCAACAATTAGATTTATTGCAGTTAAAGAGCAACAGTAAAATGCAGTGTTTCGCCTCTTAAGGAAATCCTGGACCAAAATATTCACCAGTCCTTGACCATTTTGTGCTGTTCCAGAGACACACAGGAGCTGTAAACCCGTTATGTCATTAACCCATTAGTTCAACACACTTTATACCTGTTCTCTACCAGCAGATTGGCACAAAGCATCCAAAAGGTAGAGAGAAATGCTGCTTAACAGACTTGAGTTATAGATTTGTTCCCACTGTTACAGAGAAGAATTTACTTCCACACTAGTAATCTACCCAGCAGACACATATTATATAGTGACTGAAATATTCCAGCACTAAAAAGTTAAAGATTACAGCTAATTGATAAAAAAAACCTGACCAACAATCTCCACTAAAGGCTGGATTCTGCAAACACTTCTGCTCACTGCAATATTACACCTTCCTAAAGTAAAAAGCAAATACACAGCAGCAGTAAACACAAGGCACTGGAGCAGGCCCCCTGCAAAAGTGAAGAGCAACTAATCTCACTATTGTTCTAAGAAACTATCTATCCCTCAGTTTGTTATTAAAGTTAATTAGAAAGATGAAATTACCATAGAGCTTGGCAACTTCAGTGTTAAGAGAAACTTGTTGCCTTGTAAGACAGGGCTCCAAAAAGGAGTTAAAGAGGATAAGCAAGTCATATCTCAGCAGTCACCATCCTTCACTTATTAACAACCAAGCAACCATGCAAAAAGTTGTTCTGTTAGACAGAATATATTGCCAGAATGACTGAGGCACTTCGAAAACGCTACCTGTTAAATTGTCTCTATTGTCTTTTTATGCATCTGCATGTCAAGTATGAGCTTTAAAGATCTTGTTGGAGGCTCCCCTATAATATATTCCAACTATAATTTCACTGGACTATGTAATTTTAGTGACTAAAGTAATTAAAATCAACAGCATGCAAAGCAGTCTGGGTGGTAGATATATTAATTACTACACTAATAGAAGCTAGCTACAGACACAGATGTGAGCACATCTTCAATAACAGGAGAAAATATTTATAAGCACCTTCAATAACGCTGCTTATACCAGACTTTCCTTAACATCAGGAGTTAAAAATTATTTCCAGTAAGCAGAAATTACCTTTTTCAGAACATACTAGTCTCTGTCTTTCAGTATAAACCTTATGCATTGAATCAGAAACAGAGCGAAAGGTAGAGGAATGGAAAAGAAAAAAAACAACCAAGAAAACCAATGATGTACTGTCATTTATAAGGTTTTCAATTGGTCAACAGAATACCTTATTTTTCCCTTACCTGGGGAAATAAGTGTTTCTCTGGGCCATCGAGCCACCATTACCTCATGGGAAATACTTTCCCCTGCATCAGTTCAAACCTAATAACATCGGTTTGGGAGCTGACCTTTACAAAATTTTGCATGAATGACACAGAACAAGAGGTGTACCTGGAAGTCCCTGGAAATACATTTTTCCAGGCAAAAGGCAAACTTCACATGCAAAAAAGGACCAAGAAGAGAATTTTTGCCTGGACTTCTTTGAATAATGCAGCGAGAGCACCACTTCACTTTTCTGCCTGTTTGAAGGAGCTGAAAACGAGGAGGAATCAAGAGGTCTAGAGTATATAACTGATGTAGCAGAGGAAATACGGTTGTTATACCAATGCAAGCTGCTTGCTCAATTTCATCAAAGAAAGCTGGTATGCCAGCAAAAGCCAGAATGACACTGAGAAAATGGCAATTCAGCCATTAATACACAATCCATGAGGGTAACAGTAAGAACACTGAACACACAAAACCTCTCTAACCACATGTATAAAGGCTAGCTTCTGCATCACATCGTTGGGACTCGAATGGAGAATGTTCATTGGAGGGAAGCTGCATGGACCAGGTTGTGAGGATTATTACAATTCTTGGCTAAGAGATTAAGGTATCATTCAGTAGGATCTGAGCTTGATACAGGGTTAAATATACTAAAACAAAACACTGTATCATGGAGCAGTATCTTCTAGTAGGTAGAAAGTGCTCCTGAGCTGGAAACATCTGTGCATATAGATTGCAGGACGATCCACAACAAACTGCTGGCATCTGTAAGGAAGGGAAATGTAGTGAGGTGAGGTAAGGCTCAGGTACACTGCCTGAGTCATTCCTGCAGAAGAAATGGGATTTCTCAAGGAATGTTGTGTTCAAATCTGATCACCCATGGTGAAGAACAACAAAAGTAAACAGAAAGACTGGGTCGTTTTTGGAACAACACAAATGAAATCGTCTGAGAGAAGATACAAGTGATCCCTACGCATACCCACAAGGAACACCAGGAAAGAAGGGATGCTTCGGTAAAGGATAACGTTGGCACAAGAATAAAGAGTTCATAATTACATTTAGTCTGGAAATTGAAAGAAGGTTTCCAAGAAGTGAATTTTTGAGGCAGACTTCCAGGTAGAATAGTGGGGCAAACAAAATAGCTAATTCTAGGATGGAGCTTGCTCAGCTCATGGAAGGGGTAATATGTAGTGAATGCAACAGCAGGGGACCTGACTCACCCAGGAGGGCTCTTCCAGTACAATACTCCTAATGATCAAGCAGCAATTATTTGAGGATAATACCTCCAGTCCCTTTGTAATGGAAGAAATACATACAAATGTTCATGTTGAGGTTGCTGAGGAGATAGCCCTCCGTAGGTCCACGCCTGCTTCCCTCCAAAAGTGTTTTGCTTTTGTTTGCTCCATATTAGACTAAATATTTGGTTCTGCTACATTCTGGTCTGATCACTACAATACTTCAAAATCCCTATATAATTTAGGCTTGTCTCCAGAACTGGACCCTCATATTTGAGAGAAAAGCATAAAACAATTATGTCTGGTTACAACTTGAATTTAGCAAGGGAATCAAGTCTGAACTAGCCCCAGGAGATACATCCTCTGTCAGGAACTAAAGTGAAGTTCTTCCTAAATGACTGTGTCCAGCCCTGTGAGCCACCTGGCAAAATATCTTCACATATACTGTTTCCCACCCTCCTGTAATTACTTGTGGAGCTCCCACAGTGTGCTGAAAGAAGTGACTGCTATTCTATTGTCAAAACCATCAGGACATTTTTGCCTAATAAGAACTGATGTGTCAACCTAAAAAAAGTTCTCCTTCTTCCTTATTGCTTGTATCTTTAAACAGAATACAAAGTAGTCTACACTTAATTTATGAGCATTTTCTTTCAATTAGCCCCAGTCAGCTACAGGGGTGGGTTGGTTATGTGAATTCTTACTGGTCATTTGCTTCTTAAGCGGTTGCTTGTGAGGGTGTACTAATGGAAAGATGCTATGGATAGAGACCAACCACAATATCACTACTTCTCTGATTCAAGATATCCAGAACATGCCATATATCATCTAAATACATCATGGAATCTATTGTTCTTATAAAATAGCAACTAACCAAGAAATGATGAATCTGGATACGGACTGGTGCAATATCCCCTACCAAAGTCCTCAAAAGGCCCTAAATGTGAAGAGATAGGTACGTTGCAATTGCTTTAGTCATTAATAAATGCATAATCTAAGTCACTTAATCATAAATTATTCCCTATTTTGACCCCAAAGTGTATGCTATTCCCAAGTCAACAATATGGATTTCTACGGGCTTAACTTCAAATAGGTGAATAGTCTTATCAACATTAATAGGACCTAAATATTTGCTGAAATAATCTGTAGATCTGGGGTCATAATTTGCACAGTAAGATCCTTCCAGTCAAACTGCTATTTCTTCTTCATACAGCACTGGAGAAAGACTACATTAAGCTCCTGGAATCATTCACATATTTCCAAATATGTAACTTGTAACAAACTGGAAGAAGTTACGTGAAGAGGAAAACAAAAAATGGTGGAATACAGGACATACTGTGCTATGGCTTGGTGGTGAACCCCAGCTCTGATTTTCTCTCCCTCAGCCTGTCTATAGACTCTAGTGTTTAAGTGATAGGCCAACACTTGCCCTGTCAGCACAGAACTCCCCCATTTCTCTGCACCCGCAGGCTAGATTGTCAGCTCTTGCACAGGTGGTAGGAAGAATTGCTGATGGGAAAGACTGAAAGCGCTCTAGCAAATAAGTATGTGCAGGCTGGATCAGTGATGACAGAAGAGAGCCACAGTCATCTATAAAGACACAAACATTAAGGAAGAAAGTGAATTAAGCTGATACAAATGGTTAAAAACAAGAGTAATTGGATGGAATTCAATAAAGGAAAGTATGAACTGAACATCAGGGGAAAAACACTTTGTCAAAAAGATCTAATATTATCTAGTATTATCTCCCATGAGAACAGTCATTGCATTTTTCCACAAAATGTAGTAGAAAACATGCTGGAGGGAGCAAAACTATGAACACAATGATCTAACGCTTACTTTGCGCTTGCAAAATAAAGCAGTTTGATTCTCTGTGCTTTTGACATTCTTCCTCAGTGGTGGGAAACACCCCAAACAAACACAAACACATAGCCACTGTGTATGTTAAGGGCTGGATTTTGGTCCCCTGATAGGACGGGAAAAACATTTCAGTGCAAACAAAAAGTGTTTATTTTGCCATGACCACAACTAAAACATAAACCGTTCAGTTATGGAAAGACTTTGAGGGTCACTGCTGGTCATAAACACTTCATATGCAACTCTTGCTGAGATGTGTATCTCAATGACCAGGCAGGCAGGTGTCGGCCCCTTTGATTTGACCAAGTTCAATCCTAACTGCATATAGAGGGGAAGGAATCAATTCTCCTATAAATTAAGAAAGTGCAAGATCAGTATAATTAATCTAGACTTTTTGTGCTCTTGCACAAGCAAGAAACAAAAAACCCCACAGAATCATATGGCAAAAAAAAGAGACCAGATGGTATGAACAGACACAGAACTGATGCAGAGACCTAGTTGAAGCGACAAGTGATTTTGTCATGGAAGAAAGAAACCAGTTCTTAGAAGCAGAAGCTGAAAAGATGTAAAGGGAAAAAAGACAAACTATTCTCCTGATACTGCTGTTACACAGACTGGAGGTCTTACCTAATTTGCATCTCTCGGAGAAGGCAGACTAGGCTTTGGTATGATCTTAACTAAAACGAACTTTCCCTTAAGGTGTCCCTTTCAAAGAAACAAAAGGATTATAAAATAGTGTACGTGAGGCAATGGTTCCATACTGCACTTGCTACATCTTTAGCTCAGAAGAAAACCCTTTCTTGCACTTGGAACATCTACCCAGTTAGCTCCACCAGGCAGAATATCTTCTCAAAAATACCAAACATAATCATGGCAAGTAATGAAACTGATGGAGTGGAGCTGTGATCTCAAATATATACATATAAACAAAAACCCTGGAGACCACAGCTAATAACTGATGGCTCCATGCAATTGGCTCATCCATCTGCAACTCTCTAGAAAAGAAAGGCCTTCAAGTTCAACGTAAATAGAATTTACCCATTTCATAAGCGAGGACAGTAAGAAATTCGACAGAGGGAAACTGGAGAAAGGAGAGTAGCCCTGAATAGGATACATTTTAGAGAATTAATTTCTCTACATTAATTGTTTGGATTTCACGAAGTTGAAAGTATTCCAAGACACAGATGACTATTTCTAAAGCGTTTCTTCAAAGGCCTCCATTTTTGTTTGACACTGATTTAAAATAGGATTCTTCAAAGTAAGCCATTACCAAATAAAAAAGTGTCATAGCCTAAAGCAGAATGACACCTTTTGTATTGAAAAAAC